GCCTTCTGTTTAGCATTCAAATGCCTTAGGCATTATGCCATCAGAGCTCCCAGATTTGTGATACATTAAGGAAAGAGAGCCAACAAGACCTGCTGATTTTTTTTGCGGCAAGCTAACCGCTGCCATTGAGATCCAGGACCGTGGACAGTGTAAGCACATCAATTTCTGCAATGGCCCTTCTCTGAACCTTTTCTGACTTTTCATGAGACACTGAGGAGCCCTGGTGGCACAATGGTTAAGTGCTTATCTGCCAACTGAAAGGTTGGTGATTTGAACCCACCAGTGCATTCGACTGTTAGCAGAAGGCATTTGACTGCTAGAAGAAGTCTGGAGGTTCAAACCCACCAGCCACTCCACAGAAGGAAGGTTGGGCAATCTACTTCCATAGTGATAGTGCCTCAGAAACCCAAGGAGAGGTCACTATGAGTCAGGTCCAACTTGACAACAGTGAGTTTGGTTTTTTGGTTGAGTCAGTCCACAGGAGAGAAGACCTGGCAATCTGCTCACATAAAGATTACAGCCTTGAACATGCCAGGCCTTTAAATGAGCCTAGAAAACCCTGTGGGGTAGTTCTATTCTGTCACTTGGGATAACTACGAGTTGAAATGGACTCAATGGCACCTAATGACAACATTAACCCTTGTGGTTGTTAAATTTTTTCAAGAGTAAAACATTTCAACATACAGAAAATAATGTAACAGACATACCCACCACTGAGATTAAAGTTAATCTTTTTTTGTTGTTGTTGTTTTTGTCACAGTATAGTGGGAGCTTAGAGAGTAGAGGGTCAACAAGAGATAGAAAGACCCTCAATGAGGGCTCACACATCCCTACTAATGTGAGGATGGTGCAGGCCTGTCAGTGCTTCATTCTGTTGTACACAGGGTCATTATGAGTCAAAGCCAACATGACAGCACCTAACCAACATAGAAGATGCTCACAGCCTGTCTTCCCTACCCCATAACACCCAATCTCCTAACAGATCCCATGGCGCCAAGGATATTGTTCCCACAAAATGCTCCTTTATTACGTGTTCCTCTTCTAGAGGATGTCTTTGCCACCAAGACATCTAGAGACAAGGACAATGCCCAGATGAAAGGGACTCTGCTTTACTAGTGGGACCATTAAGCAGAATCTGCACTTCACAGAAGAGTGAATCTGGGGCCTACTGGAGTGCTTCCTAGCAAAGCATAGGTTTTGAAATGGATAAAACCGGGTTCCAATTCAGCCCCATCCCATATCAACTGTAGGCAAGTTAACTAAGCTTCCCCATAGGCAAAATGGGTACACTCATTCTACCTCCTAAGATAGATGAGGAGACCAGAAGGGGAAAAAATTGATGGGATGCTGTTATGGATTAAACTGTATATGTGTGGAAATCCTAATCCCTACACCTGTAAATATGACCCTGTTTGGAAATGTTGTTGTTAGGTACCACTGAGTCCATTCCAATTCACAGTGACCCTATGTGCCACAGAACGAAACACTGCCCAGTCTTCTGCCATCTTCACAATCACTGCCACACTTGAGCCCATCCTCACAGCCACTGTGTCAGCCATCTTGTTGAGGGTCTTCCCCTTTTTTGCTGACCCTCTACTTTACCAAGCTTGATATCCTTCTCCAGGGACTGTCCCTTCTGACAACACGACCAAAGTACCAGAGATGAAGTCTGGCCTTTCTGGCTTCTGAGGAACATTCCAGCTGTACTTCCTCCAAGATAGATTTGTTCATTCTTCCAGCAGTCCATGGTACATTCAATATTCTTTGCCAACACCACAACTCAAACGCATCAATTCTCCTGTGGTCTTCCTTATCCACTGTCTAGCTTTCACATACATATGAAGCTATTGAAAGTAACATGGCTTGGTACAGGCACAAAGTCTTCAAAATGACATATTCGCTCTTCTTCAACACTCTAAAGGGGTCTTTTGCAGCAGATTGGCCCTCCAATGCAATACGTCATTTGATTTTTGTGAATCCAAGAAAAATTACATCCTTGACAACTTCAATCTTTTCTCCACTTATCATGCTGTTCCTTATTGCTCCACTTGTGAGAAATGTTGTTTTATGTTGAGGTGTAGTCCATACTGAAGGCTGTGTTCTTTGATTTTCCTAAGTACTTCAAGTCTTCTGCATTTTCAACAAGCAAGATTGGGCCATCTGCATTTTACAGGTTGTTAACGTATCTCCTTGTTCTGTTTGAACAGTTGCTTGGTCTATGTACAGGTTCCTCATGAACACAGTTAAGTGTTCTGGAATTCCTATTCTTTGCAATGTTATCTATAATTTGTTATGATCCACACTGTTAAATGCCTTTTCATAATCAATAAAACACCAATAAGCATCTTTCTGGTATTCATAGACCGATTCATTGGATATAGGAGTTTTCTTTTGTTATGTTAATTAGTCTACACCAGAGCAAGGTGTGTCCTAAACCAATCATTTTTGAGTTATAAAAAGCAAGAGACACACACCCCTCTCTAGGCCTCAGTCTCTCCATATGGTACAGCTAGGATCTTATGGGGGGAGGGAAGAGGGTCTGGGCTGGGCAGTGGAGGATGGCAGAGGGATGTCCTTACAAGGGGAGGGAAGAGAACAGACAATGTAGACAGGTATATGTATAAGCCCAGGAATGCCAAGGATTGGCTGAAATCAACAAGGAAGGGCCTTTGCCTAGAGCCATGCCTTGAATTTAGACTTCTAGCCTGAAGGCAACAACAACACACTGCGTGGAGTCGGATCCAACTCACAGTGACCCCTCCTTGGGTTTCCAAGGCGGTATCACTACAGAAGTAAATTGCCCAACCTGCCTTTGGAGGAGTGGCAGGTGGGTTTGAACTGCCATCCTTTTGGTTAGCAGTCTAATGCCTTAGGCACTATGCTACCAGAGCTCCTGAATAGTGAGAGGGGGCAGAATTTCTGTCCTTCAAAGCCACCCACTTGTGGTATCTGTGTTATGGCTGAACTAGGTAACTAAAACAGATGCACTCGGTAAGCGCTCAGCGTAAGAGTGCTCCTTCTCCACCAGGAGATGTCTTGAGGTTGTAGGGATGAAAAAAGACAGAAGACGCAGGCGAAGATGAGGCAGAATTTATTCTCATTGTGGGCAAGTTCAAGACTCAGGAAGGAGACCACAGAGAGGCAGATCCCTGGGACCCCAAGGGGAACCCCACAAGGGGGGGCAAGGGCCACACTTTTGCAAGTGCCAGGCCCACTGTGCTCCCTGACTGTGAAGATCCAGAGCCCAGGAACCAGGTGAGAGTAGGATGGAGGGGGAGACAGTGTTCCCCCTGGATTGAGTCCTGACCATGTTTCCGACTTCCATAGGAAGGAAGAACAGCTCGGCTATATAGTAATATAATATATAGAGGTGTAGAGAGCTGGCCACGGCACCTGGGCGGGGCTGAGGCTCCCCAAATTATTGCAGGAGGAAGAGGGGGCTCAGTGCTGGTGGCTCCGCGGGACAGCTGTGCTGGCTACTGGGAGGGGGTGGGCGGGGGGGGGGGGCTGGGCCTGCCTCTCCTCTGGGGCTGGCAGGGGGCATGGGGCATCCTGCCTGGTGGGGTCCTTGGGCCCTGCCTGCCAAACTTCCCCCGGGATGAGGCTTTCTCACCCTGGGTGGTTTATGTGCTTTGAAGACCATTTTTGCATTGTCAGGAGTGAGGAAAAAATTCTGACATGGTAGAAAAACGATATTTACATACCCTGGAGGGCCGTAAGGAGGGGTCAGTCTCTTAGAGGGGAGGAGGGGCTTCCCAGGCCCCTGCCCACCCTCAGCTGTCCATGTGGGTGGTATGTGGGGAAAGAACCCTGGACTGGAGTCCTTGGCTCTGGAACGGGGTTGTTGTGTGACCTTGGACAAGGCACATCCCCCTCTCTTGGCCTTAGTCTCCCCACATGGCACAGGTGGGTGTGGACTTAGGGCAGAAAAGCTAGGATCTTATGGTCTCTGATCCTAACCACAGGGGAGGGGAGCAGGCCAGGCCTGGGCAGTGGGCAGAGGGACGTCCAAGTGAGGAGATCTGGAGGGGAGACATCAGAGACCAGAGCCCCCTGGAGTGCCCTGGTAAGGGACACAGATGGACCCTTGGATCCTGGCCAGGCAGCTAGGTCCAGCTAGGGCACCTCCTAGACTCTGAAGTGATGCCCACATAAGAAGTGGCCAGAGGGACTGGTTCAGAACCCTGTTTTCCTGGTGAAGCAGCGATGGGAGCCATGGAGGCTGCAGGTGGCCCCCCTAGCTAGAAGGAGGGCCTGGACCTGAGATGCAGCTGGGGTGGGCTTGCCTGGGCAGAGAGACAGGTGGGCCTGGTGCTGGTGCCATTTGGAAGTGGCCCCTGCTCTGCCTCCAGGCATTGAGAAGTGGGCATCAGCTCTTCCCAGTTCCCGTGGGTGTTGGGACCTGGGCTCAAGTATGATGGGCAGTGTCACACTGAGCCCCCTGCTCACACACCTGTGACATGTATCCTCATACATGGCCCATCATCCACAATCATCACATATGCCCCAATCTCAGTGGATAAGCACATGTATCAGAGTATGCAGTCACCCATGTGGGGGTCTGATATGGACACCCACATATGCACACACACGTGATCATGTCCTCCTGTGCCCCCATGACCTCATGAGAACACACCCCACAGCATTATGTGTGCATATTCACACACATACAAACACACACAAACACCCAGGCAGGTGAGCAGCATTTCTGGTGAGCCCACTGGCATTGAGACCTCCCCTGGGGAAGGGAAGACCCTTTGCCCTAGGAAGCAGGTGTCCTGGCCATACTGGGCACCAAAGGCCCCTTCCCTGTGGTCTGGCCCCAGTCACTCCAGCTGCTGTTATGGGGCCATTGGCCTCCCTGGAGCCTGGGAGGACAGCAGCCAAGAAAGAGGGCGGAGGCCTGGGACCACCCTGACTGCCATTCAACCTGCAAGTCCGCTGACAGCTGCCATGACCTGGGCTAGCTTGGTTGTTGCCCAGGCTCCACAGGCCATGGGTCAGAGGTGCCGGTGGGGCCCCTGGGTGCTGGTCAGCTGGGCCCTCATGGTCTGGATGCTGCCCAGGATCTTCTTCTGGTGGCCCATGAGGGTAATGCCCAGAGCACGCACATCCCTGCAAAGGCACGGTGGTGCTGACCACCAGCTGGGCGGCTGGGAGCCATGGAGGTGGGGCCATGCCCATCCCCCTGGGGCTGCCAACCTCCTCACTGGCCCTGCCTCTTGCTCCCTGCCCTCTTCCCCCAACCCCTCCTCCCACACACACTCACTGAGCATTCATGCGCAGCACCATGCCCAGGGAGGAGTAGCCGCCAGCAGCAAAGTGGTCCCGGTAGCGGCCCATGCGGATGGAGTCCAGCCAGTCTCCCACGGTGAGGCCCCCACCGCCACCACCGCCTCCACGGAGGTCAAAGCAGCTCTGGGCAAAGGCAGGGGGTGGGCACCTGAGACACAGGGACCCTTGGTGAATGGTGTGCCAGGGCCTCTGCATTCCTCAGGGACCCTGGTGTTAACCACTCTCAGCTTCCATCCAAACTCAGCAGCGAGCAGGAAGCCTGAAGAGCTAAAGACTAGGTTTGGAAGTAGAGAGCTAAGGAAGGGCCCACACAGGGCAGAGGTTAGGGGTGCACGCAGGGCACAAGTCAGAGGTTCAGGCTGGGCAGAGGTCAGGAGTCTGAACAGGGCAAAGGTTAAGGACCCGGGCTGGGGAGAGGTCAGTGGTCTGGGCTGGGGCTGGTCTAGGGGTCAGGGCAGAGATGACCCAGGAACAGGATTGAGTTTGGGCACTGTCTGGGGTCTGGGATGGAGCCAGGGTGGATGCCAGACACCTGCTGACGGTGGCCGTGACCCTGAGACTCTCAGGGCTGCGGATGAGTGCATCAAGGACGCTGACGATCTGGGAGAATCGAGGCCGCTGGGCCCGGTCCTTGTGCCAACAATCAAGCATGAGCTGGTGCAGGGCACGGGGGCAGCCCATGGGTGCAGGCAGGCGGTACCCCTCCTCCACGGAGCTGATGACCTGGGGGGGGGCACAACACTGGGCTTGGGGCCTCACCTCCACCCCAAATCCCCACCCCTCTGCTCAGGCTGGGCCAGCACTCACATCACGGTTTGTCATGTTCCAGTAGGGCCTCTCCCCATAGGCCAGAACCTCCCACATGACCACGCCAAAGCTCCACACGTCACTGGCCCAGGAGAAGGTCCGGAAGGCGATGGCCTCAGGTGCGGTCCAGCGGATTGGGATCTTCCCGCCCTGTGATGGACACAGGAGCATTGAGGGGCTGCCCAGGTCCAGCTGGGGTTGGATCCAGACTGGGCATCTCCTCGACTCCATGTCAAGAGCTGCACTCAGAGGTCCTGCATCCCGGGCTAGGTTTGCAGTCCAATTGAGGTAGGTACAGCGTCCACCTTCCAAGAGGGAAGTGCTGCCTCACAGAGCTGTTATGAAGACTGAATGCAACGTGTGGAGAGTGCCTGGCACACAGTAGGTGCTCAATAAATATAACTCAACAGAGCAATGCCCAAACAAGTAAAGGAAGCTCAGATGTCATGGCCTAGAAGTTTCCTAATTCCTCCTCCTCTTTCTCCTCCTCCTCCCTTTTTTGTCATAAAATCCTTTCAATAAGTGAGACCATATTCAGAGACCCAGAATGAGAGACCCAAAGGGAAGCTTCTGGCAGGACTAGTGGCCAGAGTCCTTGCCTACTCAGCCTCCGGCCTCTAAGGAAAACCCAAAGGCACCTGTAGCCAGGCGCCATCATGTCAACCCCATTCATGGTGACCCCATATGTGTCAGAATAGAACTGTGCTCCGAGGGGTTTCCAATAGCTGATTTTTCAGAAGTAGATTGCCAGGCCTTTCTTCCAAGGTGCCTGAGTGGACTCGAACCACTAATCTTTCATTTAGCAGCCAAGCTAATCATTTATACCACTTGGGACTCTACAGAAGCCCAAGTCTCCACAGAACACATTTTGAAAACAACTCGTTTTTCATGGAACTTAGACAGAGATGAACTCTGTGTAGTTCAGAGAGATGCTGATTTTCCCAGTCCCTAAGTGACTAAGTGACAGCATAGAGGCCAGCCTGAGCCCCTGGTGATAGTTGAAAATCAAGCAGAATTGTTCCCATTTCCCAGAGGGGGAAACTGAGTGCAGAGAAGAGAGAAGACGTGGCCTAAGTCAAAGGCTACCCTGAAACTGCCAACTTCACTTAGCTACATATGGAAGACCTGCAGGCCCTATGTTAGTGGGGAGCCTCCTGTGCCTCCTGGACCACCTTGTCCCTCCCAGAGCCTAGCAGAAAGGAGAGTGGGTGACTCACTGTGGTGGTGTAGGCAGCATCAGGATCATCTTCCAGCACTCGTGAGAGCCCAAAGTCAGACACCTTGCAGACCAGGTTGCCATCAACCAGGACATTGCGGGCAGCCAGGTCACGGTGGACGTAGCCCAGGTCTGAGAGGTAGCGCATGCCGGCACCCACTCCTCTTAGCATGCCCACCAGTTGCATGATGGTGAACTGCCCGTCGTGGGTCTGCAGAGGGACACGGCTTGAGTTCTGGAAGGCGCCTGGTTTGTGATCAGGAAGCCTTCCCATCTGAGTGACACTTTAGAGTTGAGACGATTTGCCATTTGCAAAGTGCTTCACTGTTGATGAGGTCCCTGGGTGGCACAAATGGTTAAGTGCTCGAACCTGCTCAGAAGTGCCTTGGAAGACAGGCCTGGTGATCTGCTTCCGAAAGGTCACAGCCTGGAAAACCCTATGGAGCAGTTCTACTCTGCATGGCAACAAGGGGTTGCCATGAGACGGAATCAACTTGACAGCAACAAACCACAATTACTGCGGATGAAGGTTTTGGCAGTTTAAGATTTACTCTCATGGTCTTGTTCACACTTGCAGAAACTCCGGGAGGTAGGCAAGGCTCAGAGAGGTTAAGTTGCATGCTTAAGAATGCCCAGCAAATAAGGGCTAGGGCTGGGAATCTAGAGATTTCCACCACACCCACCAGGCCTCCTAGCTGTGTGGGGCCCCTCTTAGCCTGCATGCAGGGCAGGGCAGCAGAACCTTGTGGAGCAGAGAGACTCTCCTGTGATGGGGGCTGGAAGGCAGTGTGTGGCCTGATCCCTAAGACCCTCTCCCTGGACCTTGTCTTCCCCCTTCCCAGGTCTGTCAGGTCCCAGTTCTCAGTGTGTGTGAGGAGGTCGCACATTGTCTCCCAACACCCGGACTGAACTTCCGCCCTTGGATCCCATGAGAAAGGTGGGATAGGACACGTACCCTCAGGAAGGCATCCAGAGAGCCATTCTCCATGTACTCTGTGACGATCATGGCCAGGCGGCCTGGGCAGGGAGAGAAGCATGGCTCTTGGTGGGGGAATCAGACTGCTGACTGTAGGAACGTGACCGGGTCCCATGAGCTGCCAAGAGCTGGGCCAGCATTAAGGGTCCCAGGGCCAGCCTAGGACTCCCACTGGGGTCCTGGGTTCTGGCATTCCCCCCACACACCACCACCTAGAGTTATCTGGGGACTTGAGCCAAGGGAATGGGGTCAGAGCAGAGGCACAGAAGGGTGGTGTTCTGGTGACTAAGAGCCCTGTTTGGGCAGGAGGGCACCTACCACGGGTGACGACTCCCTCGAGGCGAATGATATTGGGGTGGTCAAACTGACCCATGATGGATGCTTCACTCAGAAAGTCCCGCCGCTGTCTCTCTGTGTAGCCGGCTTTGAGGGCCTTGATGGCCACAGGCACGTCTCGCTGCCCCGGCATATGCAGCCGCCCGTAACACACTTCTCCAGATTCTCCTGAAGACCCCGCATGGAGTAGGCAAGGAGAGGGCGTGGGACCCTCCCTGCCTGCCCTGACCCCACACACCCCATGTGTCCTTGTGCCTGGCTATGCCAGTCTTCTCAGATGCCCCGCCTCCACCTCTGCCCTGGGTGCCTCACCCCTGGGTGCCCTCTGCCCGGCCCCACCCCCACAGCTCCGAGGCTCACCAGAGCCAATGATTTTCTCAATGTGGATCCTGGAGGCCTCGATCTCACGGGTAAAACTGCGGCCCGCCCGGCCCGGCTCCTCGTAGTTGTGGGGTTCTGCATAGAACTGGGGCTCCGGGAACTTCCCCGGGGGGTGGTGCAGAGGCAGGAAGACAGGTGGGGGTGCTGAGGGGACAGGGGAGAAAGGCCTTCAGTGGGGTCCAGAAGGAATTCTCTCTCCCAGCATCCCTGGGCCTGGGATGAGTATGGGGTGAGGTGAGGGGTGTCTCTGGGAGTCTCAGGGTGTGGTGGCAAATAGTAGGTGCCCAATAAATGCCTGCCAAGTGAAAGTGGTGTCTCTGTGGAATAGCTCTGGTCTCTATAGGACTTTGGGTTCTCCAGTAGTCCTGAGTAATGTGATTAATACTTAGGTCTACCATGGGCACAAAGAGCACTGGTGGTGCAGTGGTTAAGCTCGTGGCTGCTAACCCAAAGGTCGGCTGTTCAAACTTACTAGCTGCTCCACAGGAGAAAGATCTGGCTGTCTGCTTCCATAAAGATTACAGCCTTAGAGACCCTATCAGGCAGTTGTCCTCTGTCCTATAGGGTTGCTACAGTGAGTTGGAATTGACTTGACAGCAATGAGTACTATGGGCACAGGAGTGGGACATAGATGTATGCCTGCCCCCCATTTGTCTTGTTGTCCACAATCTGTACAGGATCCTGAAATATTCTCTATGTAGCAGGGGTTCTTGTCCAGGATTATTTACACCCTTCTGAAATTGTATCCCACTTGGGGTGTGTGTGAGGACATGTGTCTATTTCTCTGGGGAGAGGATTCCTGGCTTTCTCAATAGGGTCTGTAGACCCAGGAAAACTAAATAACACCACGCCTCTGTGGTCTCAGGTCTCTGTGACATCCTAGCATCTGCCTCTGGGGCTCTGGCTTTCTCTGTGAGGACCTTCTTCTTTGACCACCTTTGCCACCCCCGATCAGGGATGGGGTCCCACCACAACCCCCTCTTTACAGATTCCCAGGGCCCTGTGCTTACCCTGCCCACTCTGATAGTGCATCTTTTCCTCATCTGAGTCCTGGAAAGCCTTGCTGTAGCCGCAGTGCCTGTGGAGAAGGTCATCGCCCTGCCTGAGGCCAGGCCAGCCCCAGCCTCAGCCCCAGCCCCACTCAGGGACAAGTCAGGACCCTTCCCTTCTACTCATCTTCCCTGACACCCCAGCCTCTGACACTGGGACTTAGGAAGTCTGCAGATAGAGTTCATACTCTCAGGCTTTCTACCTGAGAGCTGTGACATTTACAAAGCACTTTACAGTTTACAAAGTGCCATCAAGTCCACTTGACCCTCACAGCCAAGCCTATATCTCATTTTACACAAAATTGTCCCTGGTGGAGGGGTTGGGAGATGAGGTCTCTGATGCCAACTCTGCATGTGACCTTGGCAACCCCCTTCCCGTTCCTGGGCCTTGGTTTCTCCATCTTAGAAATGAGATAGCCCTTCCAGTTCTGTCTGAGGTCTTAAGCACACAGTGACCATACTATCCCATCTCCACCTCCCTTGGGAATGGGAGAAGGGACTGTGACTAAGAGTCCTCAGGGTTGACAGGCCTGGGTTCAGGTCTTAGCTTTGACCACTATCTGTTGTGTGACCTCGGCAAGTGACCTAACCTTTCTGATTCCCAGTTAACTCACCTGCAAAATGAGGTCAGAATCTCTATTTCACAGGAGTGTCATGAGCATTACGAGATGGTGTGTCTGTAAGGGAGCACAGCCCCAGGCACTGGGGGGACCACCAGCCGGTGGGAGGCATGCCCTCAGGAGGGGGCGGGGGGGCTGCAGGGCTGGGACCACCCACCTCTTCTTGCACATGAGCAAGAGCAGGAGCACCACTAGGCCCGCGATGAGCGTCAGGCAGATCCAGACGATGGTTCGCGTGTCATAGCGGGGCCCTGCAGGGAAAACCGGGGTGGTGGGGAGACCAGGCTCTTAGCCCTGACCTCAGACCCAGGGTGCTGGCAGTCCTCCCAGGCCCCAGTGGGTGCAGCCTTCTCAGCCACGAGCCTAGAGTCAGGGCACAGGTCACCTCCTACTCTGTCCCCATGTCATCTCTAAACTTCCCTTTCAAGATCCTGCTGCTTGAGGCTTCCTGATTTCCCACCTCTGGTGCCACCGTGTCCTGGGACTGTGACCGGGAAGAGTCACTTAACCTCTCTGAGACTCAGTTTCCTCATGTGTAGTTTGAGCCCAGTAATGTCCATTCAGACCAACTCTAATGGCAACAAAGCTAACACGTGCAAAGGGCTGCACAATAGTGTCTCCATCAACACTTCCCACGTTCTTCCAGTGGACCGAAGGGTTGATTTCTGTTTACACATGAGAAAACTCACGTGCAGAGACAGTCAGGCCATACAATAAGTGGGGTCGGGGCAAGGGTGTCTCAATGTGGTGTGTACCAAGGGAGTGCTGGGTGAAGGGTCATTCATTCCACCTAACACCACCTCATAGGGGGGTGCCCATCCACTGGAGAGAGAGGGCACCAACTGGAGATGGGAGCAGGACAGACTGCAGGGGCAGCCCCTAAGTCAGTGGCTATCAGATTAGGGTGAGCTGGGAGTCACCTGGAGGGCTGGTTAAAACCCAAATGTTGGACTTCCACCCCATGGTTTCTGATTCAACAGGGTCTGAGGCGGGGCCTGAGAATTTGCATTTTACCAAGTTCCCAGGTGATGCTGACGCTGCTGGTCCTGGCCTACATTTCAGAACCACTGCCCTAGAGGCTGGGAGTGGGGAGATGCTGGCGGGGGAGCCTGGACTTGGGCCCCAAACTGATCAGGCTCTCATCTCACTTTGCTGGGTGGCCTTGGGCAAATCACTTGACTGCTCTGAACCTCATTTTTCTCATCTGTAAAATGGGAGTGTGGATAATACCAACCCGCTGGAGAGTTTTTGGGAGATTATAAAGTAAAGGTCAAGGACATCCCAATGCATGCGATTGACACTGATACCCAAAAGATGCCAGCGGGTGATGGTACTGTTACCAGCTCTGTTGTCTTGGCAAGGGATTTTCCTTTCTGACCCTCAGGTTTGTTTACCTGGAAGATTGGACAATCTACTTCTGTAGCGATACTGCCTTGGAAATCCAAGGAAGGGTCACTATGAGTTGGATCTGACTCCACAGCAATGAGTTTGGTTTTTGGGTTTTTTTTGACAAATGATGAGAGTGTGGCTCGAGGCCTAGTACAGGTTCCAGCTCAGGGCATTCGAGCTCCTTCCTGGGCCCCACCAGGCACTCTGGTGACCCAGCCAGGTCCAGCCCCCACCCTCCCACTCCTGCACTCACGGGGTTTCCCGGTCTCCACCTCCATGGCCTGGCTGAAGCGGCCACAGCCTGCAGAGGTACGGGCTCGAACCTGGAACACGTAGCGGGTGCCTGGCTTGAGGCCCGAGACGGTGGCCCTGGTGGTGACAGCCTTGAGAGTGGAGTAACTCTGCATCTCCTTGTCCTGCCACAGAAAGGGCAGTCAGCTGAGGCCCCACCAATCCCCCTCCCCCAACCCTGTCCTCGCCAGGTACCTTCTCATAGTACTTGATCTCATACTCTAGGATGATGCCATTGGGCTGCTCAGGCTCCTGCCACAGCAGTGAGACGCTGGTCTGGCCTGCCCGCTCCTGGCGGATCACCACCACCTGCGATGGTGCTAGGGGAGGCCGGCTCGGTCAGGCGAGGGGATGGGTGACCATTGGGCTGGCCTCTCCCACCCTGTTCCCAGGCCCTGCCGAGGACCCTGGTCTGCGCCATGCTCATGCCCCAGGCAGGAGGGACAGTCCCCTCCAGTCTTCCTGGCAAAGCCTTGGCCATCTGGGTCAATGCCTGAGATCAGCACAGCCTGGCTCTGGCCCGGGAGGCTGGGTGGGCTTGACCTCAGTGAGGCCTGACTGCCCCAGCTTTCACTGCCTCCTCTTCCTCCTCCTAACACCCCCCACATACACACTGGGAAGGATGTCAAGATCCCCACCAGCCCCAGCTGTTCCTGTCTGCCCTGAGAGCCGAGGCACCTGGTGTCTCCACCTCCAGGTCTCCTGTCCCAGACCAGGCTCAACATGGAGCATAAGCTCATGAATGCTTGAAGAAGAAGGAAAGGAAGGGAGAAGTAGTAGGGGGTGGGTGGCAGGTAAAGAACTGAAGGAACCCAGCCCTCATGGCCTGGGCTTGGAGGGTGTGGCCAGGACAGCTCTGGGTACTTAAGGGGGGTGGGGGTGAGGTTGAGCTCAATATTCTTCCCAGCCAACGCACCTCAAGCACAGCCATTACTCATCTATCTGTGGCGGTTTGTGTGTTGCCATGAACAGCTTTCAGTGAAGCTTCTTCTACACTAAGACAGACTAGGTAGAAAGGCCTGGCCATCTACTTCCAAAAGTCAACCAATGAAAATCCTATGGATCACAACAGTCTGATCTGAAACAGTCCCAGGGATGGGCCGGGACCAGGCAGCGTTTCACTCTGCAGTGCAGGGCTGACTCCATGGCAGCTGACAACAAGAGTCTGACCAGCAAGATGTCACCTGTTCACTCCCTCACTCACTGATTCATTCATCCACTCCCTCCCTCCTGTGTTCAATACAACTACCCCTGAGGTGAATCTGCTGGGAAGTGTCAGATACTGTGCCAGTCACCAGTGAACCACCACCAAGCTGAGGACACAGTGCACAGGGCCCTTCCCACAGGTCTCCTCTTCCCCTCCACTCACTCGTGTTCTGACTCTGCCTCACACGCCCCATCCCTTCCAGTTCTTGCCTCCTGTCTTGGCATAGTCTCCTTACACACCTAGGCACTCCCTGAAGGCAGGGACTACACACAAGAGGTGTCCAATAAATGTTGCTGGATGACACTGACATTGGGAGCTCTGGTGGCGTAGTGCCTAAGGCATTTGACTACTAACCAGAAGGCTGGTGGTTCAAACCCACCAGCCACTCCTTGGAAGGAAGACTGGGCAATCTACTTCCGTAGAGATACCGCCTTGGAAACCCAAGGGTGGGGGGAGGTTGTTATGAGTCAGATCAATTCGATGACAGTGAGTTTGGTTGTTGTTTTGGGCACTGACATGAGAAATGAAGCAGCAATCTCAGAGTGACACTGGAAGGGTGTGGTCCAGGGGAACCCTACAAGCCCGGGAATCAGGTCTGGGTTCACAATTTGGCTCCCTTTCCTGCCAGCTATGACCCTGGTTAAGCCATTACTATCTTGGCGTCAAGGTCCCCACTCATAAAGTGAGGCTGGTGGGTACCAACCGGCAGGAGGAGGGAAAGCTATATTGTATGCAAGGGCACATACAGTCCTGGGAATACGTGGGTGCCTCTTAAACACCCTGGAAGGTGACAAGTCCCAAGGCAGGAGGTGCTTCATGAGTAGGGCAGATACAGAATGAAACCAAGGCTCAGAGGTGGGAGGGAAACAGGACTAGGGTATTAGAGAGGGCTCCCGGGAAGAGGTGGGCTCCCAGAAGGAGGTGATTATGGAGATGGGGGGGTGCATGCCTGGAGGGGAAGGTGCAGGCAGAAAGGGCTGGAACAGGCAAGAGGGATGAAGAGAGGTGGGAGGGGTGAGGAGCAGGCAGAAGGGGCAAGAGGGGAGGAGACTCGGTACAAACCACACCCACTTGCTCAGTGGCTGCTGTCTACTCCGGCCCCATCCTACAGCTACCGGCTTCCCTTTGTTTTTCCTCCAAGATTTATGGTAGCCGGGGAGCTCTCTGGTAGCATAGTGGCTAAGACACTTGCCTGCTAACCAGACGGCTGGCGGTTCAAACCCACCAGCCACTCCTCGGAAGGAAGGTTGGGCAATCTACTTCCATAGTGATACTGACTCAGAAACCCAAGGAGGGGTCGCTATGAGTCGGGTCCGACTCGACGGCACATAACAACAACAACAACCATATGCTCATCACTGGGCTAGGACCTAGGGATTCAGGAGCAACCAAGACAGCCCACAGAAACTAATGGCCCAGTGAGGGAGACAGAGTGTAAATAAGAGAGCAAATGAAGCAGGTAAGTGCAGGAGGTGTAGGTGCTACAAGAGGCGTGAAGAGGGAGCTGTGATGGAGGGTGCCTTGTGCAGAGGGGAGGGGACTGAGCCATCCAACTGGGATGGGCAGGGGGTCTCCCTGAGGTGAGGATGACAGGATATCTGGGAGGAGAAGCAGTCAAGTCTGGGAAGACTGTACCATTCAGAAGGAAAATCCAGGCCAAAGCCCAGGGCAGGAAGGGCTTGGTGTGTTCAAGGACAGGAACTGGAGGTCAGTGTAGCTGGAAGGGAGTGAGGTGGCCGGCGTGCATGGGAAGAGGTCGGTGAGGTGGGCAGGGGTGAGATCACAGAATGTTGCGTAGACCCCAGAGAGAAGTGTGAATTGGTTTTCTGCACAGTCGGAAGCTGTTCAAAGGTTCCAGTGTGATCTGATCCAACTTAAGTTTTTCAAAATCATTCAGGAGGTGGTGTGGAGAATGAAACACTGGGGACAAGGGCAGGGCTGGGAGGAGGCTACTGTGGTTGCCTAGGCAACATGTGATGGTGGCGTGGACCAGAACGGTGGGGCTGAGGAGGGAGAAGTGGTTAGATTCATGACAAATTTTGAAGGGAGACCAGGGGGGCTTGCTAATAGATGGATGTGGCAAGTAAGAGAGAGATGGCCCTCTGGGTTTGGGCTTGAGGAACTCAGTCAACAGTGGTGCCATTTGCTAAGATGGGGAGGGTTGTAGGAGGTGCAGGTATGGGGAATGTTGAGTTTGGTTGAGTTTACTACACATGTGGGATGGGAATGGGCAGCTGGGTCTCAGGAGAGAGATCTGGGCTGGGGACATAAACGAGGAGGCTATCAGCATGAAGGTGGAATTCAAGGCTGTAGCCCTGTTTAGATCACCCAGGGACGACGGACCCCAGGTGAGAGAAGAGTGGAGGGTCCAGGACCAGCTACAGACCTCCATCTCTTAGAGGCTATCAGAGGAGCGGAACTGGTGAAAATGGGGCAGGGCAGGCCAGACAGAGGGCAGGCCAGGCTGTGTCAGGGAAGCCAAGAGAATACAGCCATGTCAAGGAAGAACAGGGTCAGGAAGGGCCCATGAGGTGTGGCAGAGATGGGCTGTTGAATTTCTGTGGCTATGTGGGAAGGAGGCCTGACTGGAGTTGTCTGCAGAGCAAAATAGCTACAGCCAGTGTAGACAGCTCTTTTAAGAAGTTTCTGTGTAGAGAAATAGCCCAGTTGCTGGAAAGGATCATGGGTTCAAGGGAGGGTTTTGGTTTCTTTGTAATGATGGGACACTGTGGATGGCATCTGGATGCTGCTGGGTGCTCTGTTCCACTCCTCACCCTGAATGGCCAGCCCTGCCTCAGTTATTTTAGAAGCTGGTGGGCAAGGGCCAGGCTTAAGCACTGAGTACAGGTATTGCCAGCACTGAACACAGTGCTTAGCACTTAGTTAGGAGCTCTGGTAGCATAGTGCCTAAGGCACTTGACTGCTAACCAGAAGGCTGGTGGTTCAAACCCACCAGCCACTCCTCGGAAGGAAGGTTGGGCAATCTACTTCCGTAGTGATACTGCCTCGGAAACCCAAGGAGGGGTCACTGAGTCGGGTCCGACTCGACGGCACATAACAACAACAACAACACAACAGGTGCTTGCCAAATGCACAGTATCCTGCAGAGGGATGGCCTGAATTCAGAGCAAGGAGGCCTTTTTCATTTGGGAGTGAGGTGGATCTGGGTTTGAATCCTGGCTCTGCCACTTCCTATCCAGGTGACCACAGGCAGCTCTCTTGAGCCTCGGTTTCTTTCTCTATAAAATGGTGAGAAGGTAGGTGAGGATCCTCAGGGTCCTAGGCATGTACAAGGACAGTGGGCTCTCAGGTCAGGCTGTCACTTGACAGGTAGCACCCACCTGAGTTTGGCAAGAAAGAGGTGCCAGGGTGTGAATTCAGCCCAACAACTAGTTAGAAACAGATAAGTTAAATGGCCGTTGTCCAAACCAGTGTGACTAAATCCATCCCAAGGGGCAGCAGTGGCAGCTGTTCTGGAAAATGATAATCTGAGTGATTTTATTTTTGTAATGACATTTATTGAGCATGTACCATGGGCCAGGTGATGAGCTCAGCACTTTCATTTCTGTCACTGAAGGCTCTCAACAGTAGCTGAGCCAGGTACAATGTTCTCATGCACTAGGGAGGAAACAGGCACAGAGAGGGGACGATTTGGAGCCCTACTCTGTGCCACCACGCCAGCCCACCTCTGTGCTTACTGGATTCCTCCCACTTATACAATGTGTTCTGCTTTTCTCAGGGCATGAAGGGCCTCTAGCTCAGAGTCTTGGTGAGGAGGGCAGGGCCAGGAGATGCAGGCACTTGCCTAAGAGCTCACAGTGAGTCAGTGGCAAATGTCTGGGCCTGGGTCCACCTTGGGGATGGGGCTGGGGGATCTGGGGGACGGAGCGTCTCCGCCTACCTGCCTGGTTCGTGGTGATATTGACGACGGTGGCCCTGCGGGGCTCGGGGCTCAGGTCAGACACACCATTGACAGCCTCGATCCAGAAGGAGTAGTTCATGTGAGCCAGCAGATTGGCCACCAGCAGGCTGGCCTGCACCAGACTCGTCTGCTGGGGCACGAAGCGGGTGCCGCTTCCACACGCCTCACAGTGGCCCAGCGTCCAGGGGCAGCGGCGACACACAGCATTGTAGGTAATGTCGCTGCGGCCGCCTGGGTCCAAGGGAGGGGCCCACTCCAGGGTCACCGACGTGCCATTTACGCTGGAGATCAGATTCACCGGTGCCGAGGGTGGCCCTGGGAGCAGAGACATATGGAAGCCTGAGTGACAGCCGGGGGTGAGGAGCATGTATTTGGGCTGGCCCAATCTCTTCCCCTGTCAGACTGAGGGTCCCCAAGGGAAGGGCTGTGTCTCCCCCATCATAGCTAGGGCTCCCCAGGGATAAGGTCATGTCTATCCCATCCTCTTGGAGCTTCCCCAAGGGCAGAGGCTGTGTCTCCATCAGATTAGGACTGCATCTTCAATATCTGGGCCACAGGGATCCCAGGAACCAGAGAGGCTTGTGCTTCCCAAAGTTTTCATCCAGACCCAGGGACAGGCCACCTGCCCTGGGGGGTGCCTGTGGCCATGCTGTGTGTCAAACAGCCCAATCATCTGCATGCCACAGTTCATCCCTGAAGCTCCTCTGCTGGCTTAGTGTCAAATGCCACTGAGCACACATCGTGGGGTAAATAGGGGCCTCAGGAAGCCCCTCACGTGCTCCATGAGTCTCAGAAGCACAGACGCTTTAGAGGGGTAGCCACATGGTCAGGCAGAACACTGGGATGGGGGTATGGGGTAGGCCCCTGGGGGTGGGGACTTGAGCCAAGATGGCATGGGGGGCTGTGGGGCCTGCTGAGCTTTGGAATTCTAACTCTCCACGTCCCAGGCAGGGCGTCTTAGATCTTAAGAAAATATAATCGTAAAATCTCAGAATCAGAGAATTTCACAATCTTATGAGATGAGAATCATAGAATCTGAAAGGGGTAGAATACTAAAAAGCTCAGTGTTTACACGATTTCTAGGCCACCCCTCTGCCCTGGAGGCCCCGCCCCCTTCCATTTGCTGCCCTGAACTCCTGACACCTGCATGGGGAGGCACGGGGATTTGGGCAGCCCCAGGGGAGAGAGGACATGTGGGAGCGCGTGCATGTGGGCACACACAGGCACGCAAATGTATGAATATGCCCGGGCCCTCACCTGCCCCCTGCAGGAAGCCTGGGGCTGTGGTGATGAAGGTGTGGGGAGGAGGAGAAGGGGTTGAGGCTGGGGTAGATTTGGGAGTAAAATATTCAGAACACTGTGACATGCCCCTCATCCCATTGCAAACACCCAGGGCTAGGAAGTGGGCTGGAGTGGGTGTGAGCAGCTGGCTGCAGCCCCTCTCCAGGCCTGGCTGTGTGAGTGAGCAAAGAACAGAGGAGCTTGTATCAACACAACACTGAGACCATGCAGCCCTGTTGGCACAGCTACCAGACTCCTCCAGTCCCTCCAAGTACACACACACACACATACACACACACACAGCCACACCCTCTCCAGGCACATACTTCCAGTGCAGGCCAACCACGCACATGGCCTCACTCACATGCTGGGCTCATAGATACATCGTCCAGGCTTTTTAGGGACTTCTAAATGTGTGTACCCAGAGGGTACATACACACATATAGAGACCTGATTCTTCACACAGCTGGGCAGAGGTACTTGCACATTCATACTCAGGCATACAAACACTGCAGACAGGAGCAGCTGCTGACACACACACGCACACAGTCATACAGATATAGAGTCGCACAATCACTGCAGGGATCCTGAGACACACACAGAACCAGATACATGCATGCAGTCCTGCAAGCAGGCCACATACACTCCAAAGGCACACGCTCAGGCACACACACTTATAGAGCCCCCGGGATTCTGCAGCTCCAACTCATTTATCAAGGATGATGGTGACTTGGTGGTGTGGGGGGGCAGTTCTCCTACTTCACAGGCTGTGCCCCCTCTCCCGACCGCCCAGCACCAACATGAGGATCACTGCTGGGTAAGATGACCAGATCTGCCCAGCGGTGTGAAGGGCATGCATCCAGCTCTCGTCTGCCCTCCAGAGCAGAGGGGGGACAAGGGGAAGGAAGGAAAGATCTCCCTACAAAGATGGCAGGTGACACATTACAACAGGCTGGAACCCAGAGAGGTCAAGGCCACTGTTGAAGGGCCAGAGTCACCCCCATACACACACACAGGCTAGTCTCTGTCTGGCCCAGCCTCATCCACAGAGAATGGCTGCCTGAGGTCTGTGGGGTCTAAGCATGGGACCTTGGCCCAGTCTGGGTCTTGCAGGGACTCCTAGACCTGGGCGGGGCTAGGGCTGGGGGCGGTACTCACGGGTGCAGGCTGAAGACGGTGGGTCTAGGGCTGCACGGTAATAGCTGAGGTCACAGCGGCAGGCTTGGGCTGCAGGGGCTGCAGAGTGGCTGTGGGGAGGGCAACGGGCACACAGCTGGTCCCCGGGGGCTGACTTGTAGAAGCCCAGCTCACAGGCTGTGGAGAAAAAGGCATCTGCAGGTGAGCTGGGCCACCCTGGTGGACTTGGGGACAGCTCCAATTCTGATCTAGGGCTTCCTGGTGGATCTTCCAGAGCCACAGAGGGACAGTTCTTCAGCATCACCCTGTCCTATCCCTCGTTTGCAGATGCAGGGAGTGAGGCACAGAGAGGGCTTGTGACTTTCACAGGGTTGCACAGCAAGTCGGGGCAGAGCTGGGGCTGGGACTCTGGGCACTTGAGTTCAGCCCCAAAGGGTGCACAGGGAGGGAGCCCACTTCCAAGCTTCTCTCAATCTTCTTCACCTCCTCCCATCCAGGGTCTGGCTCTAGCCTCAATCTCTGCCCATTAGGCAGCACTGGTCCTCAGACACACTCGTCTCAGGGGATGGAGCCACAGGCTGTACAGGTAGGAGACCTGAGAATCCAAGGAGGGACCACAACCCCAGGAGTACGTCTTGGTTGAGATAGGAGAGCAGGACTGGGAATTAGACTGGGTGGTATGTGACTGAAGAGAGGCAAGTGTGGTAAGACCTGTGCTTCACAAACATGGGCTATGTTTCTATGAAAATACAGACTCCTGGCCCCACCTGAGTTAGGGCTGAGGTATGGGAATCTGTGTTTTTACCAGTTCCTCCTCTGGTCACCATATCTGGGATTTGTCTCATATCTGGCCCTCCTCCCCACACCTCTGCCACCATAAGAGTCTCCACCCCTGCCCTTTCAATCCCAGCTCCTAGCCTGGTCATTCACTCATTGAATCAGCATTTACTGAACACAGACTCTGTGCCAGGCACTGTTCTAGGCACTGGAGGCCCAGTCATGAATAAGATACACACAGTCTCTACCTTCACAGACCTGGTATTTAGAGGGTATTAGACCCACAGTAGGAGATTTGGTAGCGTAGTGCCTAAGGCACTTGACTGCTAACCAGAAGGCTGGTGGTTCAAACCCACCAGCCACTCCTGGGAAGGAAGGTTGGGGAATCTACTTCTGTAGTGACATCACCTCAGAAACCCAAGGAGTGGTCGCTATGCATCAGGTCTGACTTGATGGCACGTAACAACAGACCCACAGCAGACAGGCTGTGGTTATTTCTTTGAGGGAAATAAAGAGAATGATGTGGGCAAAGGGAATTGGTGGGAGGAGCCACCTTCCCCAAGAGGGTGGTCAGGGAAGACCATGTTCAGCAGAGGACATTTGAGATGTGGCCTGAAGGATAAGAAGGGGTGCACCGTGCAGGGAACAGGAATGTTCTAGGTTGAAGGACTCTCTCTACAACGCAAACTTGTCAATGTGTGTCAAACGCCTAGTCAAACCCTGTATGAGCTCCCCACGGCCTAAACCATAAAGCCTGGCATCCGGAACCCTTCCTGCAAGACCAAAACCCACCTTTAGCCTCTTTCTGTGCCACCCTCACACCCCATCCTCAAGTCAAGCTGAAGGACCAGCCCTTCCCCACACTCAGCAGGCTGCTTCTTGCCTCCAGGTCTTTGAATATGCTGTGCCTGGAATGTCTTTTCTGCTCTGTCCACCTGTCAAACTCTTCTTTGACAAGATTCATTTTAACCACCTTTTCCATGAAGGCTTTCTGGACATCTCCACAGGTACACGTACATGCACACACATACTCACACACAGATGGAAGTGACACCCGTCCACACACATACACACAGAGCCCCATTCCATCTCACCACTGTAACACCATGGCTGTACTTACTTATCTGTGTGTCTGACACTCTCCACAGACTAGGAGATTCTTGTGGGCTGATCCTTATGAATAAGGGCTGTTGTTGTTGTTAGCTGCCTTCAAGTTGGCCTCCCACTTATAGCAACCCCATGCACAACAGGACTGGACCACTTTGATGCATAGGGTTTTCAGAAGTAGATCACCAGGCTTTTCCTTCTACTCCATCTGAGTCTGGAAGCTCCGCTAACATCTGTTCGGTATCATAGCAACACTCAAGCCTCCACTGAGACAGGTGGTGGCTGCACATAGTGTGTGTTGGCCATGAATCAAACCCAGATTTCCTGTGTGAAAGGCTAGAATTCTACCACTAAGCCACTACTGCCCCCACGATTAAGAGCAGAGCTGCCTTCATTTATCTCAAGTTCCCAGTGCCTGGAACCAAGCAGAAGCTCTGTCAATGCCGGTGGGGGTTTCCAACTGTGAGCCCATCCCAACCTTAATCTTCTCTCTCTGAAAGAGAGAATTCCATGGATTCAAATAACCCAGATGCAACCCAGCTAGGCAGCTCCCAGGCCGCATCATGGAACTGAATTCCTTTGTGACAGGGAGCACCAGGAAGCTGGCTGGAGTCCTCTCCACAAATCCTGATCTGGAAAACTCAGTGCTTGGGAGAAGCTCCATTGGAAAGACAGCAGGTCATCTGAGAGCATATCTTCTTTGCTGATGGGATCTTTTTTATCATAATAGCCAAAACCAGGTGAATTTGTAAAATTCTACAAACTTGAAAGACAGCCTGAAATCAGGAGAAATGGTGATGCCCATACATTGCTTCGCTGATGCAGAGGCCATGGATGGAGGTAGAAGGAGCCTAGAGGTTGAGCATTTAGGGAACATATGGCCCTGTTGTGAGGTGTCTCTTTCCATTTCAGAAAACTTTAAGGGGGCTCAGGCCTGACTAGGGGCTGGGCTTGGTTGGGGTTGGTAGCTCAGTCATGGGGACCCTGTTGACATGCCATGACCTTGCTTCCCTTCCTGGAAGCCCCCCTGGAGCCTAAGACCCACCGTCGCTTCTTGGCAGTGAGGCTGTCATAAGCTTCTTCTGAGCCCAAGAAGCTGGCACAGGAGGCGTCATCAGGAGAGGGCTTTGCACTTTGTCAGCAAGTATTTGTTGAATCTGTTGTTGAACTGAATGACAGTAATCCTCACTGTAATCACAGGAGCCACACAACAATTAGCATCTGGGGGCCACATTCTCTCATCCCTTTCTTCAACCAGCATTTATTGAGCTCCTACTGTGGCCAGGTGTGGGCGACCCAAAATAAGTAAGAGCTGGTCCTGCTCTCAAGGCACTTTCAGATCAGTAAGGGAGATGACAAGGGAAGGAGCGGTGACATCGTATGGGATGCATGGCAGGAGGGACAGCCCAGCAGCCTTCGTCATGTAAATCCCTGACTGCTTACAAAGTTCATCTAGTCCTTATCAGTTAAGGGCAGAAACTTGAGCAGGATGGGCTCCTCTTCACAGACAACCCAATTACCTCAGATAAATGACATTGAGCAGGCTGCTAGGCCTCAGTTTCCTCATCTGTGAAATGGGAATAGTATCACTTTCACTCCTCCCAGGGCTGTTGTGAGGATTAACCAGTTGCCATGGAGTTGATTCCAATGCATGGTGACCCCATGTGCGTCAGAGCAGAGCTCTCGTCACAGGTTTTTCAGTGGCTGATTTTGTAGGTCACTTGGTCTTTCTTCCAAGGTGCTGCTGAGTAGACTCTAATCTCAGCCAAGCTCATTCACCAACCGCACCACCCAGGATTACATGAGTTAATACATGTAAATTCATACCGGGGCAGCGCCTGGCACCTATTCTTATTACAACTCTGTGTTGTCAGCATTCATACATCCATTTGGCAGAAGAGGAAACAGAGGCGCTGAGTGCTGACGTGCCTCACCCCAGGTTCTGCAGCTGAGCCAGGACGCAAACCTAGGTGGGGGAGCCCAGAGCTTAGCGATGGCTACGCCGTGCTGCCTCTCACCAGTCGGTGTTCTCACATGCTCGGCTAATACCCATACGGCTATACGTGTCAAGGCCAGATTAATCCACACAATGAAAATAAAATAATCTTTAATAAGAATACTAATCACCAGGCCTCGGGGAGCCTGGAGACCTGGAAGCTGGGCCAGGAATGAATGGCTGAGACAGATGGAGCAGCTCTGGGCTGGGGCTCGGTACTGCCCGTCAACCCGGGGCACTTCCGGAGCCTGTGTGCGCCCGGGTGTCGGGCTGGGAGCCAGGAGGGGCTCCTGCCCCTGTCCAGGGCACCTTGCCCAGCCCGCCTGTCAGGCCGGCAGCTGCCTGCGGCCCTGGCCACCTCTCCCCTCTCCCCAGCAAAAAGCTTGATATTTGACAAATAAGGTGTCGCCAGTGGACGACCAAAGGAAATTAATTCTAAATCAGATTTTAAACACAGTCAGGAAGGCAAAAAAGCTTGTCGCTCATGCTCCCCCTCCGAAATGAGACTCTCTGATATTTATAGAAAGATGATTAGGGCCACGGAGGGCGATTTATATTCTGCGTCCAGGTGACAGGGAGGACAGCAACTGGGACTTCACACTCTTGGTGGCTGCTCTACTGGGTGATGCTTCAAGAGGTCCTTCTTGTTTCTGCAGCAGGGCTGGGAGTGAGCAGTGTATCCAGGTGGGGTGGGGGCCACTAGGTCAGGAACTGTGTAGTGGGGAGAGCTGGGAGGTTTGAGATCTGATCAACCACTCCTAGCTGTGCACCCTTGGGTGAGTCACTCCATCTTTCTGGGCCTCCATTTCCCTGCTGGTAAGCTGGAAATGCACATAGTTAAGCCCTCAACTACTAGCTGAAAGGTTGGCAGCTTGAATCCACCCACAGAGGCCTCAAAAGACAGGCCTGGCAATCTGCTTCCAAAAGGGCCCAGCCTCGAAAGTCTTATGGAGCAGTTGTACTCTGCACACGTGGGGTCACCATGAGTCACATTTGACTGGACGGCAGCAGCAATAATAAAAAGCTGGACTCCATCTGGCTCTGACATGCTTCCACGGGTCTCCGAGTCATCTCAACCAAGGTGTGACCTGGGTAGGCCTCTTCTCCTCCTGAACCTTATTTTCTTCATATGTAAAACCAAATGCCACCTGGCCACCCTCTAAAGGAAGCTTCCAGGGAAAACCAGTGAGATGGGAAACTGGAGCCTGGGAGGGTGTTGTCACTGTGGCCTGTCCCCTGCCGCAGCCTCAGACTCCAGACCCCTTCTTCCATTTCTAGAGGGCAGGGAGTTCAAGGCTGGGCAAACAGGAGCCCCTTGAGAGAATCACTGGACAGTCCAGGGGCCCCACAGACCTTAGGAGGTGTTCATAAGACCCCCTCAAGCTAGAGGGTGGGCAGAGTGTGCCCAGGGGACTAGGGCAGTGCAGCTGTGAGAAGACCCCTCAAGAAGCCCAGGAAAGGCCCCTCTACTCTGTCTCCATTTTCCCTACTCCCCAACTACAGAGGCAGATTCACCAAGGACTAGGGCCTCCAGGAGGTGGGCATGGGGGTGCTGAGAGGGCTCCTGGGCTGGGGTCCCACACATGAAGGACACTCTTTCCAAATGAGGTTATGCAGACGGTCCCAGAAGCCCTGCCACCAGGGTTGAGAAGAGCCTCCACATGCAACTTAGAACTGGTGCCCCGTTCCCAGACCTCACTGCCTGCAGTGCACTAGAAATTAGTATTTTTCATAAAACCTGTAATTATCTTGCAACTGATATAATTATGCTGTATTGTGATTTAACTATTAAATCCAAAATATGCTGCAATTTCCTAACCCTGCTTTGGCATTTATTATTTTTAATTAATGTGCCAAAAGTGCCAGAAATGGGAATGGCCTTGGCCTCTCCCAGCCCCAGGAAGTCCCACTGCTCACCCTGCCTGGCCACACTGTGTGACCTTGGGTGAGATCCACTCCCTCTCTGGGCTCCACTTTCCTCTTCTGCCAAACAATGAGGCTGGAACAGCTCCTGGGCCCTCTCAGCAGGGCCCTAGCCCTAAAGTCAGGAGGACACATCTCCTTTCTATGTGCAAGTGTATTTCTGTGCAAACAGCTGGCTTATGTGTGCCAGCTGGCTATATCCAGTGTTAGAGCAGTGGCGCTGACCTTGAATGGGTCTGCACTGGCCAGCCAGTCCATTTGTGATGGCTTATGCTGTACCAGTTATAAACTGAATATTATTCTGGGAGAAGGAAGGCTGGGCTCTGAAGAGGGCTTTGTGGACAGATGAAATAGCTCAGGGCTTTGGAATCAGACAACCTGGCATCGGATCCCTACTCTGCTACTTAGTAGTTGAGGAATTTCAGTTTTTCTCATCTGTAAAGTGGGGCTATAATGTAAAAAGGGGCTATAAAACTTAGCATTATAGATTGAATTGCATCCCCACAAAGATATGTTGAAGTCCTAACCTCTGGTATCTGTGAATGTGACCTGGTTTAGAAATTGGTTTTTGAAACTGTTATCAATTAACGTGAGGTCACGTGGGAGTAGGGTGGGTCCTAATCCTATCTGTGGGGTGTCATATAAAAGAGGGCAGACACAGACAGAGGAAGGATGGCCATGTGACTACAGAAACAGATGCAAACCAAGGAACGCTAAGGATTATGGGTGGGTGGCGTGGGGGGCAGCGAGCGGCACCAGAAGCTGGGAGACAGGCATGGAACGGTTTCTCTCTCAGAGCCTCAGAAGGAATCAACACAGCTGATAACTGGTTTGGACATCTAGCTTCCAGAGCTGTGAGACAATAAATTTTGGTTCTTATAAATCCCTTGGTTTATGGTATTTTATATGGCAGTCGTAGGACACTAGACACGTTAGAGAACTGCTGCAAAAAGGAGAATTTAGCCCCACTTGCATACGAGCTCTATGAAGGCAGGGACTCCCCAGTGCTTGGGACCCAGCAGGTCCTCAACTGAATAAGCACTTGACATAACATGGAAAGAGCATTTATCAGAGTGCCTGGCACATGGCAAACACTCGAAAAATTGTCTCTGACATATTTTATTATCCCCATCAGAAGGAGGGGATTTGGGGACCCAGGTCTGCAAGGGAAAACAGCCAGAGGTAGGCCAGGCATAGCTTAAAAGTCTAGATCTGGCTCAAAGTGAGACAGAGCTGACCTCAGGTCCCAGCCCCACCTCTTACCAACACTGACTTTCCCCATCTGTAAAATGGAAAGTAAGTTGTAAGGGCAATAGGGATGCTGGTTATCGATATTAGCCAGCAAGAAGTTGAAAGGACAGGGGTTTTCGTCAGGAGACGCACCACGAGAGGCTGGAAGCTTGGGGAGCCTAGGAAACTAGGCCATAGAGGGCAGAATAAATGCAGAAACAAAAACATCATACATGGTGTTTTAAGGTTTAGGGTCCAGGAGAGGTAAAGACTTGTAGCAACTGGGAGTATGAAGAAAGATTTCTTAAGGAAACCAGAGAGCCCCAGGGGAGGTGCTGGGAAGGGCCTGGTGTCTAGACAGAAGGTCTTGGTTCTAGGATCTCTGGGCTAGACAACTCCTAAACTGGACTAAGCTGGACTGTGTCACTACACTGTGTAACTGTTGCTGTTGCGTCAGTTCTGACTCACGGCAATCTCACGTGTGGCCGGGCAGAACTGCTCCATAGGGTTCTCCATGGCTGTGATCTTATGGAAGTAGACACGAGGCCTTTCTTCTGTGGTGCCAGATGGGTTCAAACTGCCAACCTTTCGGTTAGCAGTCACACGCAAACCGTCTGCATCACCCAGGGGCCTCTACCGTGTGTATCCTCTGTAATTGTCAGTCTGTGCCCTGTTGTCTTGTCAGTACTGAGGGGCCACTACGACCTGCCAGGGACAGAGGATGGGTCTGAGGTGAATAAGGGTCTCCTGCACTGTAACCACGGGGCCTGTGTGTTAGCAGTCCAAGGCAAGGAAGATATTCCTAGTGGCTGGCAGGGCCCAGTCCCAGCTTTCCCTGAAGGTGTTTGGGAACAGGCCACAGGCTTCTGACCCCTGTAGGACAACATCCCCCTCCCCTGCACCCCATCACCCTGGAGAACCAATGGTCCCAATGGCCAGGTTTCACTGTGCTCTGGGGGCTGAGCTACCATGTGTCCAGCCCCTGAGGAGGCTAAGGGAGCACGGGAAAGCCAGGCTGACCCCAATGACAGTAGGGATACCAGCTGGCCATCCACATGTGCTCTCCTAGTGCTTCCTATTCTCTCAGGACGGAATGCCTTGGTTCTAGGATCTCTGGCTGCACTGTTCCACAGAGGGGCCTGCTAACAACACACACACACACACACACATGCACACACACAATGCACAAACACGGACACATACACAAATATATCTGCACATTCATACATATATGTGCTCACCTGTGCCTAGGCCCTATCCCTTGCTCTGGCGTGGGCACCCCAGCTACAGGTGCCATGCTCTGTCATGGCCCAGTGCTCTCGGCTATCCTCCTTCACAAGGACCTTGGCTATCCTCTCCCACAGATTCCTGGGTAAGTTCCCCCTGAGCCTGCTTCTGGTGCCCTAAGGGTGCATCATCCAACCTAGACTGTGCTGTCTGGGTGCCCCTGCCCGCAGACCTCTACTATGCCCTCTCACTGCAATGACTCACCCAGGGCTCTAGTCCCACTCCCCTCACCCCACAGTTTAGAAATTAATGGTTAAGAGCATGGACTCTGGAGCCAGACTTCTAGGATCAAATCACAGCTCTGCCACTTCCTAGCCGTGTGACCCTAGGCAACGGCTTCACCTCTCTGTGCCTCAGCTTCCTCATCTACAAAGCCAGGATAATAAAGAGTTTCTGTGTTATAGGGTAGTTACGAGGATTAAATGAATAAAAACATGAAAAGTGATTAGAACAATGCCTGGCATAAGTTAGCTGGTAGTACTGTTCCTTAACACAGGCACATACCCAGCAGGGGACTCAATCCCACAGGTACCCTTAGCTGCACCTTCCATGGTGCCTGCCTGCCTGACACACACACTGACGTCCCAGTGTTGCTGAGTTTACCCATCTTCCCATGATCTGTGTGCACTACCGCATGCCTGCTGGTTACCACATCCCTTCCATGCCCCCTGCCGCCCACCCATGCCAGGGCGCGCTCACCCACACAGGCATCCCGCCGCTCCTCGTAGCCAGCGCTGCACACGCACTTGCCAATGGGCACCAGCCACTCGCCCTCAGCACTGCAGTACATCTTGGGAGTGTCCCGCTCCTCTGAGTGACGCACACACTGGCCCCTCACCTCCACCAGTGAGGATGAGTCGGCCCCCGTCACTGCCTCCGAGAAGGCTGCCAGGTTGCGCACCATGGCCGGGCACTTCTTGTAGTAGATGCGAAGGGAGAGGATGGCAAGGCAGGCACCAATGTCCTGGAAAGCCAGGTAGAAGCCGCGTTTGCTGAGGGGGCCCACACCGCGCACCTCGGTGTTGAGCTTGAGGCGCCGCACGCCGAGGTCGGCACCAGTGAAGCTCTCATCGGCTGCGATGGTGTCAATTTTGAGGAACTGGCTTTCTTGTGTGCTGGCGCCCAGGTCGCGGTCTGACTCCAGGTAGTAGAGGTTGAAGGTCTCCTTGCAGGTGCCCAGCACACCAGGCATGCTGTTGCAGTCACGCAGGGTGAACTTGATCTCAGCATAGACGCGCCGGGCGCCATCACGGGGCACCCAGCTGGTGCGCAGCCAGTTGTTCTGGTTGGGGCTCATGACGTTGCACACCTGGTAGGTGTGGATGGGCCGGAAGGACTCATCCACCTCATTGATGGAGTCCCACTGCGGACAGAGAAGAACAGAGGTAGCGGGCAGGGTCAGCACCCCTCAGTTTAGCCAGAGGTCCTTGCCGCATCCCAGAAATTATGCTAGGGACGTGCTGGGAAGGAAGACTCGACTGTTCTCTGCCCTCAAGAAACTGACCTTCTGGTGAGTCGCCTTAGCCACCAGATGTTGGGCACCACACCAGTGTGGTCTCACAGAGTGCCACCTCCTCTGGGGAAGCAGACTTCTGAGGCTCTTAGGACGAACTAGGGGGGTAGAAGAAGTGAACAGGCTGAGGTCCCTGTCCCAACTTCCACCAGGGCAGCAACACCTTCAATCGATTTCCCCTACTGGGTGTTGTTGTTGTTGTTATGTGCCGTCGAGTCAGACCCGACTCATAGCGACCCCTCCTTGGGATTCCGAGGCAGTATCACTATGGAAGTAGATTGCCCCATCTTCCTTCTGAGGAGTGGCTGGTGGGTTTGAACTGCCAGCCTTCTGGTTAGCAGTCAAGTGCCTTAGGCACTATGCTACCAGAGCTCCCCCCTACTGGGTATCTATGTGCAATTGCACTTGAACTAAAGCTTCTACTTTTCTTTCAAAATGGGAACATTAAAGACCTCTTCCCATGGTGCTCTGGGAATCCACGGGGGTCAAGCTTATTCCACAAGCACTGGAGTGGGGACCACAGGCATCTCAAGTCACTTCCTGCCTGGCATAAGCCCCTCTGCCTGACCTCTTCTTGGCCAGCTGGCTGGTCTTGACCCTTGGTGCCACATCTATAAAATGGGGCTCAGAAAGGGCCCACTCAGTGAGGTTTGAGAGAATGAAATGGAAAAAAATGCCTGTAAAGTGCCTAGTTCAGGCTGGCAAAGCAATGCTCTGGACGAATGGGGCACATACACAGCTGAGCTGCCAGTGTCTCCCCCAGCCCCCTGCACCTGCCTCCAGGGGCCCTGGGGAAGAAGTCCTGCTTCCGAAAGGGCTCCAGGGCATTCCAGGCCCACCTAAAAGAGGTTACGCATCCTGTCTCCCACCCAAAGATCCCTGTCCCGTGCCCCACACTACAGTCAGGGTTTCTGGGCAGCACTGTGTCACATCTGGGGTTAAAGTCATTGTCACAATTAATGGAACACCAAAGAGCCGGCCAGCTGCTCCCTGTCTGTTTCCTGCCAGGGCCCCAGATAAATTCATCAGCTCATCTGAGTCAGCGCCAGCTGCCCCATCTGTGCCAGTGCCCTGGCCCAGCCCTGCCAGCCCAGGAGCTGCAGCAGATAGGGACAGTGGCAGGGATGCCCAGAGGCTGGGCACAGAGCTGGAATCAGCCCCGAGCTCCATCTAGGGCACCCCCACCAATGCCAGACACCACTGCCACCCCAGATCCTGTCTGGCCTGGGAAACTGACCCCAGCACCTTCCTCCTCCAACCCCACCATCACCCTACAACTCCATCCTCCTTCCGAAACAGAACACAGTGAACCAGTGTGCGGTACTGGGTACATCACACTTCCCTTCTGAGCCTTGGGCTTCTCATCTGGAAAATAGGGTAGTGGCTGCCTGCCTTTCCCATCTTGAGTGTTGTGACACTCAAGAGAGAATGGAAATGAATGTGCCCTCTCATCTAAGGCAGCTCTAGCCAACCATTACCCTCAAGTGGTCTCTGACTCATGGGATCCCGTGTCTCAGAGAACTGTGCTCCCTAGGATTTTTAATGGTTGAATTTTCAGAAGTAGACTGCCAGGCCTTTCTTCCAAAGTCTCTGAGAGTGGACTCGAACCTCCAACCTTTTGGTTAGCAGCTGAGTGCGTTAACTGTACCACCCAAGACAGCACTAGTTGCTACTAATTCACTAGGGGATGCAAAGCCCGTCCCAGTGAGCCTTCCCACTTCTCATGAGGAAAATGCAGGCCCTTTTCACACATCATTCCAGTTAGGGACAACTGCATGGAGCATGCATCATCATCCCCAGGGCATAAATGAGGAGGTCAGGGTGACTAAATGACTTGTCCAAGTCACTCTGATTATAGGAAGCAACATACTGTCATCTGGACCCAACATCCTTGTCCTTTAGGCTACGTCATTTACTAGAGACAGCCTAGATGACCCTTGAACTCATGGCTGTGTAACAGACCCCAGAATCTGGGGGTGGACAGAAACTCAAGGCCCATCTCCAAGAGGCCCCCACCCAGCTGGGCAGGATAATCACCTAGGAAGCTTATTAAACAAAAGGTTCCCAGGTTGCGCCTAGACCTCCAGGTTGGGGGCATCTGCATGCTTCACCTGCTAGCCTCCCACACGTTCCAGGTCCAGAGTCTGGGAGCCAGGGATGTCATCTAACCATCTCTCCTCCCTGGGAACGCTAGTCTCTTAGATTACCAGTGTGGTCATCCAAAACACATCTGGCCACATTCCCCACCTGCTTAACATTCTATGAATCCCCATGAAGACGGGAAGTATCCCTGGCTCAGCAGATGAGGCAGGGTCCCCTCCACCCATCACAATGAGGACACAGACTAAGACTGACCACCTGCATTTTATAAGGGGATATAATGGACTCAACGCAGGCTCTGGGCCCAGACAGATCTGAGTACCAGTCCCAGCTCCTCATCACTTGGAACCTGTTTGAGGGTGAGCAAGTTATTTTTCACTGCCTGAGCCTCAGCTTCCTCATCTGTGAAATGGGGGCTATATATCCCCTGCACATTGGCTGTGGGGATTAAATGTGTTGATGTCTGTGAATTGTTAAGAGCCATGTGAATATAAGCTGTTATTCTTTGTTGTAACTCCCACATGGCAAGAGATAACTTGGAGCCATGCTTTGCAGTGCCTGTGAAACGAAGGAAGTGTAGGGTACCAGTGCAGTCATCCAAAACACACGTCTGGTCATGTTCTTCGCCTGCCGAACACCTTACTCCCCCTTACCCTAAAGATCTAGTCCTGAGCTCTGGGTGGGAGACAGGGGCACACACCCCAGGGCAATCTGGGCCAGGCCAGCTCCTTCCTAGCCACTGGGTCTCAGGGAAATGTCAACCGAGCCAACAGCCAGGGAAGTCATGGGACCTCAGAGTGGGATCAGGCTCCATGGGTGGAGCCAGTTCAGCATGGCAAAGCCCTTTCACACCCATGCTTACCCCACAACCACCTGGGAGACACACAGAAACGGTTTCCACAGATGTAGAGACTGAAGCCAGGGAGGTAAAGGGACCCTCCCAAGGACCATCTGGTCTCAGGCCATGGTGCCAGGATGTGAGAAGGGCTTCCCTCCTGGCTCTTGGGCTGAAGAGTTGGGCCCATGGGACCCGCCCTTCCAGGTCCCTAGGGCACAGGGGGCTGATGGCAGGGGCTCAGCTCATGCGGCCTGGTGACGAGACCCCAGAGAGGGAGGAACAGGACTCCATCGTGACCTCCAGCTGCCAACAGCCTGGATGAAAACCCAACCCCAAAGTAATGAAATGCTCCCTCCAGGAACGTTAACTCTGACAATTACTATCATTATTATCATTAGTATTCCTCTTCTTCTGCCCCCAAAGCCACGATGCTGAAAGTCTTCATCAAAGAAGTCGTGTGTGCGTGATGTGCTCACATCTACGGGTGTGTGTGTGTGTGAGATTGTGTGGCAATGTGTGTGAGAGAGTGCATGAATGTAAGTGAACATGAGTATGTGAGTGTGAGAGTGCACATATGTGTGTGAGTGTGAGTGTATGTGTGAGTATGTGTGGGAATGTATGTGAGAGAGCACATGAATGTGAGTGTGTGTGAAAGCAAACATGAGGGTGAGTGCATGAGTGTGTGTGAGTGCATGAGAGCATGTGTAAGAGACAGTGTGTGTGTGTGAGTGTGTGGGAATGTGTGACAGCATGCATGAGTGTGAGCATGTGAACGTGAGTATGTGAGTGTGAGAGTGCATGAGCATGTGTGTAAGAAAGAGTGGGGGTGAGAGTGTGTGTGTATGATTCTGAACACTTTGAGGAAGGAAATTTACATGAGACAATAGTCATAAACAATACGTGGCTGTAAGTGCCCATCTGGTCGATTCCAACTCCTGGTGACCCCAAGTGTTAGAGCAGGATTTCCCCAGAGTTTGCTTGGCTGTAATCTGAACAGGAACAGATCGCCAGGCCCACCTTCTGTGGTACCAATGGGTGGATTTGAACCTAGTCTGAGGTTCACAGTGTGAACTGTTTGCACCACCTTGGGACCTTAATCAATGCTAATGATAATAATAAGAGCTTATATTTCTTGAGGGCTTGCCAGGTGCCAGGCACAGTGCCAACACCATATATCATCTCACCTCATCCTCTCAGCAAACCCAATGAGGTAATCAAAATACAGACAAGGAAACCAAGACTCAGGGAGGTGATGTGGAGAACTAGAGCCACCCAGGCATTGATGGCAGAGCCAGGACCCTACCAGGATCATGGGCTTGTGATGAGGCTTTCCTTCCTCATGCCCTGGGGTTTGAATGAGAGAAGGGTGGAGCAGGGCATACGGCCTTGTCAATAGACACCTGGGGGCTATATATATATATATATATATATATATATATATATATATATATATATATATATATATATATATATATATATATATATATATATATATATATATATATATATATATATATACCTGTGTCCAGGCGAGAGGGTGCATCTCTTGTGAGCACATGATCCCAGTGACCTGATGGTCTGAGCTCAGGGCCACCATGGAGGCAGAAATGAGCCTAAGCGCTTGGCCACACTGGGGGTTGGCAGTACCACCCAGGTGGTTGACAGTAAAGAAAAGAACAAATGAAGACTCCAGGGGTCCAGGCAGCTCCTGGTGAGGGAGAGGCAGCCAGCTACGAGGGAGGGGGACAATCTTGAAGGTACAAGGCCAGGCTGGGGCACTTCTGCCCTGGCCCTCAACTCTACCACATCCCAGGCTGCCCTGGACTTAGCCTTGGCACATTATGAACCATAGCCCCAGAGCCCAGATACGTGGGTCCTTGAATCTGGGACACCGAGTTCTGTAGCTCAAGGGTCTAGGGTACAAGGCTCTGACTTCAGGGCTTTCTCTGCTTATAGAGGGAAGATGCTGCCTGGGCCCAGTGGGCTGCTGCCCATACTGCGCATCACTCACCCCATGAGCCGGATATGTCAGCCAGCCCCAGTCCCCGTAGATGGTGGATGTGTCCAGCAAGTTCACTGCAAAACAGGAGAAAAGCAAGTCAGACCCCCATGGCCTCGTCCACTCCTCGAGAGCAGCCCAACCAGCCAAACTGATCCTCTCTCAGCCTCCAACACACAGGCTTCTCTGACAGGAGTGCCCTTTCTCACTTCTCTTTCAAGGGACAGTTCAAGTTTTCTCTCTGCCATGAAGCCTTCCTCCATATCAGCCAAGAGCAAACTTCCAAACTCCCAGAATACAGCCTGCCCCAAGCAGGCTGGTGGTGCAGTAGGGTGGTTAAGAGATGGGCTCCAGAGGGGTGAGTGTTGGAGTCCCAGGGAGGGATGCAAGGGCCAACTTGCTGGGCTGTTAACTGAAAGGTAGCTATTCACGTCCACCCAGAGGTATCACAGAAGAAAGGCCTGGTGATCTACTGAAAATCTGGCCATTAAAAATGCTACAGAGCACAGTTTTACTCTGACACACATGGGGTCACCATGAGTCAGAGTTGACTTGATGGCAACTGGTTTTGGGTTACACCATCTGTATAGCAGAGAGCACAGTGCCTGGCCCAGGATTAGTCCTTATAAATGTTAGTTCCCTTTCTCCAAGTCCCACCCCTCCTGCATCTCCCCTTATACCTCCTCACTTACCAATAGTGTATAAAAGTGCACTGAACTGATAAAAAATCATGGCTCAAATTCTAGCTCTGTCCCTAACTGCTGTGTGTCCTTGGGTAATTCTCTTTACCTCTCTGGGCTTCTGCTTCCTTTGGACCTACCTGGCGATAGTACCATGAGAGAGCATTTGGCTCCAGAAGCCCATGGCTTTCCATTTTACTCTCTTCCAGGCACTTCTTCTCCCAACCATGGCCTTCCGACTACCCTGTCAGCTGTCTTGGGCAGGTCAGGTCATAGAGGGTTAAAGCCAGGTCCTCCTAGAACTTTCCTTCTGCCTGAGATTTGCATAGCTCTGAGCCTGCCCCTCAGAGATGGAGACAAGTGTCCTCAGGAAATGTTGGAGTGAGGATGCTCTTATTTGCTGATTTCCTTCTTCCTCTCACCACCCCACCCCTATTGTCAGGGATCCCAGAGGCTGCTAGAGAGGGGGCTGGCAGAGCAGGGAGGGGGCCTCTCCACTCCTCCCTGGGGCCCCAAGGGTCAGGTGGGATCAGGGGAGGGAACAAACATCAACAGAAGGTTGTCCCCCTCCCAGCTCCGGCCCCACGCCAGGGGTGCAGGCAGAGAGGAGCAGCCCTCCCGCCTCCTCCCTCCCTCTCAGGCAATGTAGGGAAAACTGGGTCAGGCAGCTCTCTCCTCCTGTTGGCTGGGGGGAGGGGGCGGGGGCCGCACTGCAGTCTCCCCCAGACCAGCAGGACCTAGTTTGGGGAGCAGATAGGGAAAGGAGACCCATGGGCTACCCCACCCCACCCTACCTCCCGGACCTGGGCTTAGGGCTGGAGGGCCCCTTCTGTTGTTATTCCTGATGCTGCTCAGATCAGCCCCTACTGAGGGGCCACCCGAATGAACGTCCACCACTCAGAACTCTCCCCCTTGTGTACCTGACTCCAGGGGCAGCTGCCTGCAGACCCCACTTTCTGGACCCTTCTCCTCCCCTGGGAAGCCCCACTACATTTGATCAGCCAGGGGTCTCAGATAATCCAAATATAAATCAAAAGTTGATTCTATTGGATTCAGGAAGGGCTATAGGATTCCAAGGCTGTTCATTCCAATTCCTTCCAGACACTTCTCTATCCCTCCCTCCCTCTCTCCTCCTTCTGTCTGCATCACTATCTTCCCTACTTTGTGTCCCTTTCCATGGGAGGGAACTCAGAGTTTCTCCAAGGAATCCCAAGCCCACAGTCATTTTGATCAGGGCTCGAGAGGATTCTAGCATTAGGCCCACCCAGCCCAGGCTTGAGTCCCCTTGGAAATGCAGACCCTTCTGGTCACCAGGGCTGGTCTCCGTCCTGCCTCTTGCTTTGCTGGACTGTGTGACTTTTGTGAAGCCCATTTCCCTCTCTGGGCCAGTCTCCCACTTGCAAAACGGGATGCTGGACTCCATGGTCTCTCAGGGCCCTTCAACGAAGCTAATCACATAACCTCTCTGCTCCTCAGTTTCCACATTGGCAAGGTGTCTGTTGGATCCTTCCTGGATCTGCCTTCCCTGGCTGCTCTAGGGGATCACACGGGTTCCTCTCCTGCTCTGAAAAGCACAGATAATTCCTAAACCGTCCCTGTTCAACTGTGGAAGGCATTATGCGATTCTTTTTCTCTCCAGCACCGTCACCTTCCCCGATTCCATTTCGCTGAGACTAATACTTAAATTGATTTACATTCCCTGAGGATGCAGCACATGATGGTGAGCCTGGAGAATTCAGGGTGGCCAGAGGATGTCAGCCACGATGTGGATGCCTCAGAGATCACCCCAAAGTGCTGAGATAATCCACATCAGAGAATGAGAGGGGTCGTGAGCCTGGTAGGGCTGAAGGGATGTCTCTGCAGGTGCAGGGTCTTCCCCTGGCTCATGAACGCTCTACAGGGCCACTGTGAAGGAGCTGGCATAGGGGCACTTGGCCAGACTGGGGCACTGTTGCCGCTGCAGGACCCCAGCTAGAAACGGAGCTCCTCTCCTTGAGCTCAAACAGTCACCCTGGCCAGTCTTGGCTCTGCACCAGCCCAGGGATGACACTAGAGGGGACTCCTGGCTGATCCACGTGGAATCCATGCACCAGGTCTCTACCCGTGGTCACCCAATGTGCATGGGTAACCATGCCCAGCTGTGAGTACCCAGCTGCATTGATGGGATAGGGCTAACTGCGCCCTGGTCCTTGGACAAAGTCTGCCGTGACTTCCGCTCCTGCCTCTCCTCTTGGACCAAGCCTCCTTCCCAACTGTTGCCCCTCCCCTGGACAAGTCCTCTCTCCTAGGCCAGTGGGCTGTCAAAGTCCCTTGCCCGAGAGGTTCTGAGCTTGCCAACTTTTGAATTTGGAGGATGGTCCCTCTCTGGAGAAGAGTGGAGACAGGGGGTGTGGGTGCACCACCTGACTCCCAGGACCCAGTGGGGTGAAGATACCATCACCCTCCCCCATTCAGCCCTGGGAAATAGTTTTCAAAAGCCATAGGCCTCTTCTGCTGCAAGGTTGCCCCCTTCCCTATTCACCCCACTCCCAACGTCTCCAGGGTGGAGTGGGGTAAGGGGCTCTCTCCTTGGTCTCTCCTGGTGTCACAGCCTGGATAGTCACCCCAGGAGCCTGCACCTCATCATCACCCACTAGCCACTGTACTTGGGCCACCCTGCAATGGTCCCTGCTCAGTGCTGCCGCCGCAGCTGCACTGGAGACTATGAGTTTATCCACGTCTATACATGCATTTGTGTGGACATGCATGCAGTTTGAGGTCTCCTGTCCATGGATGCATGTATTTTCATGCATGTATCTATACACACATATGGCATATATGCCTGCGTGCACATGCATACTGGCTGCATGTCTGTGTATATGCCTGAGGGTGGTTTGTGTGTATAAGTGTGTGTGTGTGTGGGGGGGGAGGCCCTGTCCACACATGTGAGTCTTCACAGGCCTGGGTCCATATGTGTGAATCCAATGAGTGTGCCTGTGTCCACGGCTTGCCCTCTGTGAGCTGTCTGTGGGTGAGGGATGGATTTGTGTATATGTTTTGGCTAGAGTACGGAAGAGGAGCACTGGCTCTGCAGCTCCCTTGAGTCTAGATGATCATTCATTCATTCATTCATTTATCTGGGTTAGGATTAGGCAGGTTGAGAGCCCAGTTCTGGACCCAACCCAGGGTGGCCTCCTGCGATGGCCCCAGAGTATCTAAATGGTGTGTGTGTAGGGGGAGGCCTGGGGTGTTGAGGGAACCTGATGGGTGCCTCCTGCCAGCCCCACCCCCCCACATAAGTCTTCTGCCACATTTTTTGGTCCCAACTGCCCACCCCCACCCCATCCTATGCCCACTGAGTGACAGGACTGCTTCAGCCTTGCCACGGACAGATCCCTGCTCTCCAGGCCGCTGCCTCCTTCAATCTCCCCATGGCCCCTCTCTGCACTGGCCTTCAGCCTGTGGCTGCTCCCACCCATAGCTGCCTCTCCTCTGGCTGTCACTCCTTCTGCTGCTGTTCCTTCTGCAGTCCTCCAGCCTCTGGCCTTTAGCCCCTAGGACTCTCAGTCCCTGCCCTTGATCACTGTGTCACTCCTTCTTCCCAACCTGTCCCCTGTTCTCCAGTCCCTGTGTCTCAGTTCTTGGTCCCTATCTCTAAATGCCATCCCTAGCCCCTTTTTTCTTCAGCCATCTGAACCTAATTCGCCTTCCTTGTGTCCCTCTGTCCCCTAATGCCTGCAAGTCTATTCTGTCCCCACCCCTGCCCCCTGCTCATCCAGTCCTCCATACCTCTTTTCTCGTCTTCCGTCCTCCAGTCTTGTCCCCTGGTCCCCAGTGTCCAGTCCTCGATCCTCTGTTCACAGCTCCATGTCTCTTGGTCCTGTCCTCTGTCCTATCCCTCTGGCCCCCAGTTCTCTATGCCTCTGTCCCTCATGCTCAAGCCCTCTGGTCCCTATCCATCAGTCCTGTCACCATTTCCATCACTCTGTCTCTTGACCCTGGGTCTCCCGCTATGCTACGCTATCCTTGCCGCCCCAGGCCGAGGGGTCCCAGCTCGTTTGGCGTTCAGGGTCGAGGCAAAGGAAGTTGAGCCGCAGG